CAGCTGCTAAACTCTCTTGTCAATGAAAAAGGGGTTGGCATTCGACCTCCACCTTCCAGGATTCTCCTAATAATGTGTAGCATTTCTAATTTTCTCATGTTGACAAAAGTCTGAGTGAGAAAAGGAGGTCATTGTTTAGCCTTGTTGAGTCTTTGTGTGACTTCACCCTCTCTGAACCGTGAGGCTTTCTTAACCAACCTCTCGCTGCTACCAACAGAGACCCCTTAGCCCTCAGTCCTGTTACCATTCTCTTATGGACAAAATTCACTTTTTCAAGTCGGGTTAATTAAAATGCCTGGCTGGGGAATTCAAACCTTGCTGGTTTTTAATAGCTTGTCCTACACTCACTTAATAATGAGTGATGGCTTTGCTGTATGTTTGAGACTGCCTATGAGGTCACAGTTGGAGATGTCAATGCGAAAATTTGATTTGTTGTTTTGGTTTCTTGTTTGATTAGATTAAAGCACGCTGAGATGAGCGAGAACATTAGACTATTCCTAAGACCTCTTCGCAAGTAACCTATAATCATCCCTTCACAAAAACCTTATTCCGTTGGATGGATATTGGTCTAGCCCCTGAGTGAGTCTCTGGGAACAGTCACGGGAGGAGTGTAAAGTTTATCAACTGCACTGTGAGACTTGCATCTGACCACACGAACATTACTTCTCCATCTCCCTGTATGCAGATGAAATTCCGGTCGAAGGAAAAATTGAGACAGAAGAGCCAACAGCTGGCCGCTCTTCTTAGTTCTTTTGAGTATTCGGGTCCATGATAACTCCCTAGTAAACTGGATCATCAATCTTCTAGTCATACCGGTGGAAAGTCTTAGCGTCAGGGTTAGCCCCACATATGGAACTGTTTATAGGCTAATCCTGATAGAGGCACGATGAGCGGAAGGGCACCAGATAGATCCCACCTCCCACCCATACAGTCCTCATCCCATTCTCTAAAAAAGATCAACCATATTAACCACTTCCACATTACAAAACCTTTCTGATTGTAGCGCTGAGCCCATCTAATTGTGCACTTCCTACAACTGGAAAGAAAAGGCTTGGATGTTGTTGTTTTTGTTGGAGTTTCTCCATTCAGTTTCATTCCCATTGTTCCTGTCCACACTGAGCAGCATTACGTAGGACGCACGTCATTTTAAACATTCTTTTGCCTGCCAACCGTGAGTAATTGAAAAGGAGTGAGTGAGAAATTCTGTAGGAATGCTTGCGTCCCAGGGTTCGACATCAAATGTTGCAAAGATCAACTCAGTTTAAAAAAACACCTCAGGTTTGGCATAAGCAATGATGTCTGCAGGGCTTTAGCATGGAATGTGAGGTTGTAGAATTACAAACAAATCATTCTACAAGACTGTGGCAACATCTGGCCATAGTTTTTCCCCATGTGTTTATTTGCTAAAACTGAAAGACAAGAATCAAAAAGAGTGTATACACTGCTAAAGCTCTTTTACCGTTCTGTGAATTAACACACAACTTGAGCCGAGCATTTCTGGCTGTCTGGAACTCACAGGGCCCAGGCCCTGACAGCATGTGTGTCCGAGGGACCCCAGGCTGTTGTTCCTGGCAGGCCCCTGTCACAACTCTCCACCTCCCGATAATCACCCGCCTTATGCCCGCCCCTGTTCATATGAGCTAGGACAATGTGCATGTAATTAGCAGTTCTGTGTGGCAGCAGCAGCTGAGGTCTTGCTGCCTCATGGGCACACGCAGAGTTGGCTCTGGAGACTCGCACACAGGAAGCTTGGACCTCTGGTTGAAGTGGCCACTGTGCAGACAGCAGGATGCTACAGAGGGAGGCTGTCTTTCCAATTATCACCCAGCAGCAGTTCACAGAGGTGCCAGACAACAATGCAAACTGATGCCTGAGAGCAGCTTCCCATTCATGTTCCGTTTGCTTGTGGGAAAGAATTAAGATCCATAATGTGGGTTAACAGCCGTTGGCTGGGATACAAACGGGACAAAAGTGGAAATCTATGAGCCATAAAGTAAATTTTGCTGTGGAATTAAATGTTTGACTGTTTTTCTCAGATCTGTGTTAGCTAAAGGGAGGAAATTTCCAGCCAGGAAGATGAGAAATCCTTCCCTGGTCTTCTCGGTTGCAAAGCTACAGAGCAGAACGACAATTTTAAATGCATACAAACTGACAAAGAAAGGGAATATATGGAGTGAGGGAAAATCTATATACAGTATGGCAAACCTTCCTCCTTCCCCCTAACGGCAAACGGATAGGCTGAGAGATTTACGTAATTGCTGAAAAGTTTGGATTTCTTCTTATGTTCAAGTGTTCCATTTAAAAGCATTCTCATATGCTAATGGCTTTTTTCCTCAGACAGGTCTTTGGCTAGCCCTTTCCCTTCCCAGGCAGAAGTGCTGGTCTACACCATCCATGCCAAGATTTTCCATAATCTGGCCACTCGCTTTCCATCTGAGAGATTTACGTAATTGCTGAAAAGTTTGGATTTCTTTTTATGTTCAAGTGTTCCATTTAAAAGCATTCTCATGTCTCATGGTATGCTAATGGCTTTTTTCCTCAGACAGGTCTTTGGCTAGCCCTTTCCCTTCCCAGGCAGAAGTGCTGGTCTACACCATCCATGCCAAGATTTTCCATAATCTGGCCACTCGCTTTCCATTGGGTGCAATACATAAAATGGAAAGGTCAGTTTAATGTCAACTGTCCAGCCTTAACTCACAAAACTTGTATCATTTTACAAATAAGATCCTTTGTTTTGACATTTACAGTATAGTGCATATTTCATTGCTATGTGTAGTTCAATGAAACTGTGGGTCAATTCAATTTGATGACTAACCTTTTCACTTATTTCAGCTTTTTTTTTCAGAACAGCCAAATTATGATTAAAAGATAAGTCACAATTTATTTTCTTGTTCAATTTGTCTTATTTGTAATGTCATGTGCTCGGTTTTTAAACGCATTATGACTGTGTATGTTTTTCTGAAAATGTTCAGCCTAAGGGCAGCTGCTATTTTTCTCAACCTCTCAAAGCGCACAAGCATCCTGCCTGCAGCCCAGTTCCTTGCTCATGACTGCAGAGAATTACAAAGAAAATTACACTCTTCCTTAATAAAGACATACATTTGAGTGCATAAGACAGAAACGCTTCTGCTGCCATATAGCCTGATCGTGCTTACGTGTGCAACATGGCTGTTTGAGGGTCACTCCGTAGGTAAGAGTTTTTCACATGAAAGTCTGACCTTAGAGAAGCTGATAGACAGCTCAGACACATGTAGAGTATTGCTCTGCCTATCACGCTCATTCTCCACAGCGTTCCACAGGTGGAAGCTCTCTGGACATTCCTCACTCCTGACGTGAACAAGTGTGCAGTCTGTAAATCTGGCACATCATCCTTATTGACACAAATCACAGATTTATGGACTCGCGGCCATGTGTGTGTGCATTAAAGGAAGTGTAAAGCACATGTTTTGCAGCTTAACTTCACGCACGTACCTGCAGCCTTCCAGCAGACGCTTAATGCCCCTCGCTTTGCTTTCAGGAGGAATAATGTAAGTAAATGAATCTGGCATATGGGAGTTGATTCAATTGATTCAGTGTGTTAAACAAGGATTCTATGCTGCTCTTTAAGGATCTGGACACAGCATTTAAATGTTTAAATTATTGAGTGAAGCTTTAACCTATCTAGACATCTGTTATGTTTTACTGACTGGAGTGAATTCTTTCTGTGTAGCACTACTTTTTAATCTGTTATTAAAAGTAACTTGCTCTGTCAAACTATTTAATGTCTTTAACTTGACTTCCAGTCCTTTTATTATTATTATTTGTTGCATATAAGGCTGAATATTTAATATTAACTGAATATTTCAGGTGAATATGCAAAGAAACATATCTGGAATTAATGACAAACCATAACAGAAAAGAATTAAACGTACATTCTAAACTTATTAATATAGTAAAACCAGTGGTTTCTCATAGTGAGGAAGGATTTTGGATTTAGTTAGATGAAATTTCTCACCAGACGGGGGCACTAAAACAGCAAAATGTGGACCAAAAATCATGAAAAAAGAAACAATCCACTATTTCAAAAGTGACTTGACTCAAAGTATCTGCAAAAATAGATCAATTGCTTGAGATATAGTTATTAAACGTATTGCATTTATGAGTCACCATATACTTTTAATATACTTTTTGCAATAGTTTGGTGCTGCCTTTGTTGATTTAACTATTAATAGTGGATAATATAACTAAACTTTAGTAAGAACTATGCTTTCTCAGTTAAAGCAGCTTTTTATTGATTATGTGTTTATTAACTTATTTTTAGTTAATTTTTTTATATCACCGTGCTCCCCACAAACCTTTCTTGGTGGTGAATATAGTTTTTTTTACAATATAAAATCGTTTATTACTATTTCTATCTTTGTCTTTTCAAAAAATCGGTTACACTTTATTTCGACAGTCCACTTTAGACATTCTACTAACTGTAAGTAACTTTGTAACTACATGTCACCTACATGTCAACTAATTCTCATTAATTTGCAACTACATGTCTACTAACTCTCAGAGTAGACTGTTAGGGTAGGTTTAGGGTTAGTAGAATAAGTTGACAAAGAAAGTGTTAGAAGATATTAAGCAGACAGTCTACTAATACTCTACTAACTGCTAGCTGACATGTAGTTGCAAAGTTACTTACTGTTAATAGAATGTCTAAAGTGGACTATCGAAATAAAGTGTTACCAAAAAATCTAGATGGCACAAGTGTCTTCGTTTCGCGCTGCGGTTTCTAAATCATAACTTCGTGTTCGTCCCTCAAAGTTAACGAGCATTTGGTGCGGGCTGAGTTATTTGAAGCTGTCCCAACAACTTCTCGAGTCGAGACCCCAAATATCCCAGAGTGACATCACGCAGATTAGCCAGTAGGAGTGTGGAGCGCAGGGTTTGGGGGCTGGAAATCAAATAGGTACGAGCACCGCTGAAGTTTCTCAATCACTATCAATGAGGATTTGCATGCTGGATCTAAAAAAAACGGAATTTGGTGACTTATGAGAAGGAATCGTTTTGGACGTTTTGAATGATTTTGCTGACTTTTTAAGGGCTCCCCCCCTAGTTAGCGATGTGCTTTTCTAACTTTTGATGCGCATCTGTATGTTTCAATGGTGTGGAGAGACGGATGCAACTGCGCGTTTGAATGAGCAAAGCTTTTTCTGATGCATTTTGAGAATTTTTCAAAGTTGGAACTATTTTATGCTGGTGTTGTAGCTCATCGTTAAGTTTTCCCCCTCGTCCTACCTGTAGTTTTTTTGTTTTTGTTTTTTGCGCTTGGGACTTAATTGTCTGGATGTAACAAGACGCGGATACATTTTTAGATTTTCATATAGCATACGCATTAGTTTATTTTGTTGTTTTTGTTTTTTTCCCCCTATTGTTATTGGGCTGCTCTCAGCCTCAGAGGATTTATGATGCGGTGGGTGAAGTATTGGGGGACAGTGGCTGTGCTGTGCGGGCTGCTGTGCTGTGCTGTGAATGGATGCCCGCATAAGTGCAGTTGTTCGGGCTCTCATGTGGATTGTCAGGGTCTAGGCTTCAGGACGGTGCCCAGGGGAATCCCGAGGAATGCCGAGAGACTGTAAGTACGCCTATTATCGCGTTATTTGTACACCGATAATATAATGACAGCGGCGCGTACCTCTGTTCACAGACAGAAGCACCGCAGCGATTTCATGCACTGTGAGCAGGAGATGCAGAGAAAGTTTTTTCTTCTTTTTACAGCTGTGGTTCACTTGTAACATAGTGTCCATGTTACACGTAGCCTATTGAATGGTACTATTATTGCACACTAAAGTATTAATTTAATTAAAAATAAAAAAACAATAATTGCAAGTTAAGTAAACCTATTTTTACTTGATGGATACCAGTCAGGCTGCATGCTTTTTACTAAAATTATATAAATATAAAAGATGGAGTTATTTTATAAAAAGTATATATATATATAAAATCGCAGTTGCAAGGATAAAGGTTACAATATTTATTTATTTATTTATTTATCGAACAAGCAAATGTGCTGAAAATAGAATGCTAATTCAAAAAGCAATGCATTTATTTTACTTGCAATTATACTTTGAAATCTACAATTTTATAATTTGACTTAAACCATCAAAATGGTGTTCTGGGTTTCCCTCTTGTCGATAATATGTTTACATATACTGAGAGATAGAGCATATTTAATAATGCATCAATAATAAGCTCTTTAAAAGACATCATCTCTCAGATGGACAAACTGGAATGAATCCGCTCTGATCATCTCTGAACTCCATTTATAGTTGCACAACTCACTTCACATCAGCAACTCAACAGATCATTAAGTGAATGTAGGTCGCAAATGTTACCAGTGGGATTAAATGGGTTTTAATTTAGTAATAGTATTTTGTGTAATGGGCACTATTGTAAAATATTACTATAGTTTTTCTTAATAAGATGTGTTAAAAATTACATGATACCTTTTGTCACCTTTGCCCAGATGATCAAGTTTCCTCTTTAAACATTATTGCTGGAGTTGTTAAAGCAGTTTAGTTTAGTTCTTAGAGTGAAATATAGATTTAAAGCAGAGGTTAAAAACAAACAAACAGACATTTATTTTAAAATCAGTATGGGATGTGCTCAGTGTCATGTTATTAGAGGATATACAATATAAATCAATTTTAAGTACTTCAAGTTTTAAGTTTTCTTTAAAATTCCATGTATGTTATAAACTGTCTAATGCATGAAGAGTTTTCGTTCAGCGTTTTGTATTGAAAGTTTGAAAAGTTTGGAGTTGAGAAACATCACATTTCATTGATTCTATCCAGAATGTTCTAAATGAGGCTTGAGATATTGTGTGCACATCTGAATGTTGAACAGCATTGCATCTGATTCTTTCATCCAGTATAATGAGTTTACACAAACATTGATTATTGGACATATGGTGTGAGTGTGTATGTATTAGCTGGGGAAGTTGGGGAACCACACATCCATTGAGGGGCGCACTGCAGCTGAACACCGACTCTCTTATGTGTTTAGATTACTTTTGTGAATTTCACTGTGAAAATATCCTTAATTTCCTTGTTTCCACCTGCCGTGATAAGCCTGATAAGTTTCTGTCGTGATAAGCGATGATAAGTATCACAACCATCTGGTATAATATAATATTTTTTGGGGGGATCTGATAGGAAAGGCTTCCGGTCTGTTCAGTGGCCAGAGGTCTGGTTGAACCTTCCAACCTTTAACCCCTAAAGGGCTTTTCAGTGGAATTTTTCATGTGGAGAGAAAAATAAATAAGTGTCAAGACCCTCTGTGTATTGGATTTGTTTTAAAATATACCATGTTAGGTTTAGTCTTGCTTAAACTAGAGACAGATGCAAGTCTTTCATGGTGTGCATAGCATTTGGTAAATGACTTTGCATATTCTTATATCCGATTTTATTCATTGAAAACCAAGCAATTCATCCAATGTTTTGCACCAAGCTACGGCATCTGTAAATTAGCAGTTTTCAAGACCGCTCAAAGTCCAGAAGCACCCGTCTCCACGTCTCCTGGGTACGATTAACACGCCACCAGGTTTCCCAGAGCACCCTGGAGTGTTGATTTAACTGTAATGACTGCACCTCTGCCCTAAGCAAGGCCTAGTTACCCACAATTCCAGAGTTCAGGCACATTTCCCTCTAATAAATGTGCATTTATTTGAAAGGCTTTTCTTTCTTTGACAGCTCATATGATTTTGTGCTCATTAGTAGCTCCTGTCGCAACTGTAATATCCCCTTTCAGTCACTCACACACACTCTCTCTCACTCTTTCATCTCTCTCACTCTAATTTGCACCAGTTACGCACACACTTTGTAGCATTTAATAGCAAATTCTCTCCGCCAGAGTCTTGGGCCCACTCGCAGTTAACACTTCAGGAACAATGTGGCACTTTGTGGCAGGCATAGCGTGTTTGGTCTGCTGGATCAGGAGAGAATGGCAGCATTCCCTTCCTCTCATCACACTCTGGGTGTCTTAAAGAAGTTTCGGTGTGAAACCGCCAACTCCTGCTTTCCCAACTGCTAGCTCCGCCCTCGGTTGCATATCCGTTTGTCAGCTTTTATGTCAGTTTTTTATTATCGCAAAGAGTCAGTCAGCGGGATAGTGTGTGTGTTTGTTGTGTTGGTGTTGGAGTGAATCAGGAGGTGGGTTTGTGGTCTCCGTTGCCCTGCTGACCTCAGTGGGCATATGAGGAGCATATGTGAAGTCTCTCGCTCGGTGAGCGTTCACACACTGCAGTCTGCCAGACAGCTGCCGGCACTGTTTGTGGGCAAAGATTTCGGGGAAAGATTCGCCACCCAACTTTAGAAAAAAAATCGTTTTCATGCACGGAACACATTTACTGTGCCTCATTTCAGGCAGTACATCAAAGCTTAGCGCTGTCTTTGGTGAGTCTGGGAGCCAGCAGACCTCTTGTCACAAAAGTCTCGAAGAGGTCACTCCGAATGTCAGGGACCCAGAAGTCTGTGAATCTTCCAAGCTTGTGTCATACTTTAATGGAAGGCTGGATTCGATAATGTGCATCCCTCCAGGCCGTTTCACATTTACGAGGACTCTTATTTTGCGGGCTTTGTCACCAAAGCAACACATCAAGGGCTTCGTTATTCTCATCAGTACATCTTGTTAGTTGTGGCTGAGTGTAACTTGAAGTGACAGTGTTTATCCTAAGCTAAAAAATATGAATAAAACCGCGTGTGTGAAAATGTGCTCTTTAACTGTTTTATTTTTTGGGGTGTTTGATTCATTTAGTGAATCATTTTGTTCAGATGGTTCATGTAAATGTTTAAAAATGATTTTTCTAGTTTTATTGTTTGTATTTAGTTTTAATGTACGTATAACTGCTATTTAATGCTTCGTCATATTATCTCAAATATCGAAGATATTGTCTTCTTACATATTCCAAGCTGTTTGCTATACATTTCATTTGTGGTTCATATTGTAGCTAAATAACTTTTGAAACAGTAGCTTGACAAAAATTTTAGCCTAGGACGTAATGACTTCAAACTCTTCCCTGCCAAACATAAGTTACAATACAAGAAAAAATCTATCTTTTTGGAGAAATTTATACAGGAAACTTAGTAGAAACAGAGCGCCACAAAGCCAAATAAATAAACCCATGGTGGCCTGGTACAGAGGCTGTTGTTCGATATGGTTAGCCGGGACACTCATTTTTTTGACCGTTCTTCCCGGTAATGACATTTACGGAAAGTTGGTGGGAGGGTATCCTTGGTTACCCCGGAGTCCAAGATGAGACTTGTGTTATTGATGAGCCTTTTGTAGCCTGGCTGTGATATTGACTTTCACACAGACATGTTGAAGATGCCCTTGTCACCTCTCAGCCAAGCGTTACTCTAGTAATTTAAGAAGTCATATACTGTGCAAGAACACCAGGCCGTCTGCGCTATTAGCTGTCAGGGTTTTAAAATAAACCATCCAGGGGGTAAACGCTCAAAAAAATGAAATAAGAAATAATTCATTTTTGTCCACTCTGCTTAGTGTGAAGTGAGCGTCCTTCGCATCCAGACATGGCGCTAATGAAAATATTTACTAAATGAAATTCTCCCTGAGATGGAAACTGCCAACATTGCTCATAAACAATGAAGAGGAAAAGACGCACCGGCTGCTTCATTTTCACTGCCTTCATCCTGAAACTCCAGTGATGAGTTGGCCTTTATCCTCATGCAAAGCCAATCCAACTCCAATCCAACAGACGATATTCTGTTTTAATCACAAAAAAAGCATTTACCAAAGACGATAAACAGTCATCACCAGCCATGCCAGGTAATCAAAAATAGAAGATTGCATTTTTGTGGTTTTGGCTATGCAGAGTTTTGGTGGTAAAAAATAAAAAGTTGTGTATGGAGCACTGTGACGATTTCAGGGAATATGGGATTGTTAAGAGCTTTTGAGGTGGTAGTAATATGTTGGGAGGTACACCTCAGGAATTCTGGGACAGGACTGCATGTGTCCAGAAATGTGTGGTAGCCACATGGCTGCTGGCTGCATGGCTCATGGGAGATGAAAGAGCGGTAATAACCGCCCCCCTCTCAAATTTGATCTCGCACAAGTGCAAATGAACAACTGTTTCGGCGGCGAACTTCCAGAAAACTAGGAAAAGGAAAGAGCTCTGTTATGGGAGAGTGAGGAGGACGCAATGAGGCATCTACCCGTTTGTAATGCACAAAATAATTGCACCCTGTTCACATTAACGTTATTAAAATATCCCTGTCTGTGTCTTGCGTTTAGCATCTGCCTTATAATTTTCAGTGGCATACGGATGCCTCAGTGAATTACCTCAGTGAAGGAGAAATGATAATTAATGCAGGCATTTAATGAAGATTAATAGGTGGCAGAAATCACTTTGACAGTTATGACAGCGAACCTGTTAATTTAAATGCACAGGACAAGCATAATCTCATGTTGTGCTTTATCTGTGCTTATTTCAAAGGTGTTTAGTTGTAATTAATCAATAGACATGAGAACAAAATGTATTCTTATTGATGTGTCTATATGTCCTGATAATATCTTGTGCATCTTATGAGGAGAATAATAATGTGTTGGTATTGTTGG